CCTTTACATCAGCATGAAGCTAAGGTCTGTGAGAATCACGGATTCTGTGCTAGAAAGTGTACAGTAGAGCGTCTGGGCAGCCATTAAAATGAACGGCAAAAGACAAAGCCTGGTAGATCAGGTCAGGCCAGGTCAGGTTGCACAGGACGGTGAAGGCTTTCGCCTATCGAGCGTCCAGATTCTTGCTCCAGNCGACTTCTTGTCGACCGTTTGACCACAGCCGATTTCTTCGTTTCAAACTGTCTCCCTTGGCGCGTCCGTACCTGCAGAGGAAGATTATTTGAAAATGGGCAGCATAGGTATCTATTGTCAATAGCAGGTACCCTAAAAGATCTCTGGATACAGGCTCATCCAGACCCCATCTAGCTGCCTTTTGAATTCGTCGACTGTCCTGCAGCCAATTAGTGAAGATGGTAGCTGATTCTACTCATCTATTACTATACTCATGACGAAGTTATACCTAAGTTTGAGTCGGCTCCTGGGCTTCATTAACTTTAAATGATGCCCCTAGTTTACTCGAGTGGTGCTCGGGTAAACAGGCTTTCGGCTTCTAGCCCAGGCAGTCCCTTTATTCATTTGAAGGTTTCAATCATGTCGCCTCTCAGGCGTTTCCTCTCCATGGAGGAAAGCCCTAAGGATTCTAACCTCTCCTTATATGTCTTACCCCTCATTCCCGCGATCATTCGTCTTAAGGCAACTTATATCCTTCTTCAGGTAAGGAGACCAAGCCAGAACGCAGTATTCCAACTGCTGCCTAACTATGGCCTTATATAGAAGTAGGAAAACCTCAGCCTTCCTTGACAAAAAGGCCACCTTGAGCTGGAACAACTGCACCCTCACTTTTTGTTCGGCGGCCAGGCATTGATCACTAGGCTTAAAGTCCTCGCAGACCAAAATTCCTAGATCCAGCATTCGGTCTGCTCGAGCGAAGACTGTCGGTTCCGTGATCGTAGCCACTTGAACCGGAAGCCCTACGGTATTTAAAACATGACACTTGGTAGAGTTTAGCTCCCAGTCCCACTTCATTGTCCACCGGACCAACTTAGTCAGATCAGCTTCCAGTTGATCTACCGTCCCTGAGTTCACTAGCTTGACGTCGTCGGCAAAGATGAAGACAGGAACCGCTATTTCCTGGACCAAGTCATTTATAAACAGCAGGAAGAGTATCGAGACTAGCACTGAGCCCTGAGGCCCTCCACTACCAACGTTAGACAGGGCTTCTCCCACTCGAACTCTATAGGTCCGGTTGTGACGAAAGCTTCTACCCATCTAATTAGAGGTATTGGGAAACCAAAACCCCTGAGCTTCATTAGTAGGAGTCGGTGATTTACCGAGTCGAAAGCTTTCCTGCACACTTCGTCTGTCTGGCCTCCATCTTACTTCCTTGTAACTTCGTCTAAGCAACAATGGAGGTTGCTCAGACAACTTTTTTATGAGAAAGCCGTGCTGGGCAGGACTAATCAACTTATGTTGAGAGACGTGCTCACAGAGAGCATTCCTAACAGTGGTTTCTAAGCCCTTACACAGCACGCTGGTCAAACTTACTGGTCTGTAGTTGCCAGGTTGCTTCCTATCTTCACCCTTGTGGATGGCTACTACTGTGGCTGTCGCCCAATCACTAGGTACTCACCCAGCCCTAAGGGACTCCTGATAGAATGCGGTTATCGCGGAGGCGAGCACTTGAGCCAGTGGCCTGATGACGGCTGGATGTAGCCCGTCGCTGCCGGCAGACTTGTTCACATTCAAGTTCTCCAAAACCGTGAGAACACAACTTGCTGAGACTTCCACATCGCCCATTGGAGGGGTGTCTAAGCACTCTCGTGGGACCGCACGCCCGTCGTCTATTTTATAAACGGTTTCAAAATACCCCTTGAGCGTCTCACATTTTTCATAATATGAGACAGACAGCCCACCTTTGGGGTTCTCCAAGGTACCTACCGATTGCCTTAGTGCAGTCTTGAGTTGCACATAGCTATAGTACCTCTTGGGTTCCTGGCACGCTCTTTTGGCGATTTTCACCTCGAAAACCATTTTCGCCTGGTTTACTAGCTTGCTAGTATAGTTTCTCGCTTTCTTATATTGTAGCCATCGGACATGCCCTCGTGTGAGAACGAATGCCTTCCACCTTCGAGCCCTTTCCTCTATGGCACGTTTACCGGCCGGCTTCCACCGTTGCGGTTTGTGGGTATCACCCCGAGGCTGCAAGGGGGCATGCCCCTCCATCAGCTCTATTAGCTTGTCACGGATTATCCCCAATCGTTGATACACGGACGCTTCTGTTCCCTGCGGGAAACATGCTCTGGTCTGAGCATCTTGTCTCAAGTCCTCTATGTTCATTTACCCGAAATTGCGGCACCATCTGCGGGGTGGCTTTTCCTTCGCAATGCATGTTTCTAGTAACAATACATTGTGGTCGCTTTTACCGAGAGGAACCTCCTGCCTTAGGTCTCTGATCTCACTCTCTTGCCGCGTGAGGACCAGATCCAAGGTGGACGGTCCCTGCCCTAGCCGGATACGCGTTGGTTCTTTCACGTGCTGGTGGAGCGATGCTGCATGGAAGCAGTCCATGAATTCGCGTTCTGCTTGCCCATCTCCCTCGTCTTCGTACTCCCATTCTATTCCAGGTAGATTGAAATCTCCCACTATAATCGGAGAGTGATTTCCCCTACTGACTGCGGTAATGAGATTTAGTAGAGCTCGATCATTCTCCGGTCTAGAGCTTGGTGATCTGTAGACACCCAAGATGCAGAAGTGTCGGCCTCTATTTCTTACAATGCAGCCTGTAGCTTGCACTGTTGGTGTATACAGTGTTAGCTCAGGTATTTTCCATTGGATATATTGCCGACGAACTAGCAGCAGGACCCCGCCCCCTCGCCCCCCTCCCTATCAGTTCGAAAGTGTGTGAAGTTCGGAGGGGCTAATCGTTCGACTGATATGGTTTTGGATAACCATGTTTCAGTAAGGATCACAATATCACAATCCTGGCTCCTAATCCCTAGCTGAACCCATTTGTTTCCAACGCCGTACACATTAGTGTACCACAGTTTCAGGCTGTGTGGCTGGAAAACCGGTGCTTGTAAGTGTTATACACTCAACTTTCCAACGCCCTCGAGCGCAACACCCGAGGGCCAACTACGCTTTTTAACGCATCAGTTTGCTCCACATTCTGCATAAAGCAGCTACCCTTCTTCTCGAGGGGCCCTAACCTGGGGATTTACACCATTTCGATAACCGTATTGTTGACTATCGAGCCACCCTGGTCTCCAATTTTTCTGTGGCCACCGAAAACCTATCAAACGTCCCCCGTTCCGGGCTGTGTCCCTGGTCCGCCATTTCGGCCATTCTTGCCTCTGGAGTCTGAGTCGACCTAGAGGTCGCGATCGGTGGCACAGTCTGATAAGCGACTTTATCCGGAGTAGATAATGCTTTCTTAGGGAGCGTTCTCATCCGAGTCACTCCCTGCGTATTGCTGTCTGGTTCGGGTGTGACGCTGAGCGGTCGCCCTACCGTCCTTACTTCCTTAATTGGAACAATTGGAACTGAGGTTGGATTCCTATTGAGCATAACAGTGGGGGCCTTTGCCCTCTGCACCGTCGGTTTCACCCCAGCCTTTGGCTGTTTGCGGGACCCCGCCTTAGTTCCAATCTTCTTCACAAGTTTTGGTACCGCGTGTGCCAACTATTTCGTCCTCAAAGGAGTCGAGGCAGCAATCGATGCATAGCTCAGCTTGCTTTGGTTTACTGGTGTTTTATCAACACCTGGTTTTGGAGAGGCCTTTTCAAGGGATACCTTGAGAGTCTCCTTTACGGTGACCTTATTCTTCCCAGTCGCGGCTGCATGACACTGCTCTGGGGTCTGCTGTGATCCCTGCTTTCGGGTATCAGGTGTGCTCTGATACCTTCCCACAGTGAATCGCTATATTTTCTCGCAGTTACTGAGTATCACGTCCCGGGCTGCAGGGTTTCCGAACTCCACTAGGATAGGCCTAGCCTTTCTTTGCTGCAGGCTGCCTACAGGATCGATCCAGCGGCCAATCCTCTGCACCCTCTTAATAAGAGTATGTGGGGGTAACCCAGCAAGTCTCAACAGGTCCCGGACCTTTCTATGTTCTATGTCAGTTCGCGCTTTCGCATTCTCATTATTGGTTCCGCCTTCTTATAAATGAGGATGTTCCTATTTTTTCCCATTGCCGTTTTTTTTGAGAAGCGACAATTCCCACTCTAACGTGGTAACTTTCCCTTCTAGCTCNTCTTCCTGCGAATCCAGTGAGTTCTGGATTTTCACTCCGTTGTTGCCTACATCTAGAGCAGATTTTCGACCAGCGCCTTCCGCCAGTGCTAAGCATATGTAGCAGAGCAACTGCAAGGAGTCTTTTCCTACGTGAGCTTCGTAGGCTTTACGATCTAGACCAGAACATGATTGGTGGTAACAGTATCCACAGCAATCACACTGATGCCGTCAGAGACCATTTTCTGGCACTTAAGAGCTCCACAGCATTCTTTTTTGGCCATTGCAAAGCTAACAGTGGGCAACTAATTTTTCTACGAAAAATGTGTTACGCAATGAAATCACTGGTTTCGAACCGTAATACTCGAAGACCTCGAATATCCTCGCTAAGC